TACTATTGTGATGGAAATTTGAAAAAATGTGGACGATTTTGGAATGATCAGGATTTGAAATGTAATTATAATTTCCCAAATAGTTATTGGTAGAAAAGTTATTAATGATGCAGACGTAACAAAAGATTAAGTGCTCGTCAGTCTTCTTTCCCTAAGAACGGCTCCACTATGGTGTTGAGGATGGCAGTTAACGTTACGATGAACTTTGATATAAATGGAAATATAACATACACAGATGACAAGAAGAAGAATCACATTTTGTATGAGTTATCAAATGGTGAAAAATGAATATGTTTAAAGTCTTAGAGTGTAAGTCATTGCCAAAACAAGTAAACGTCCTCTTGTTAACTACTCACAGAAATTGGGCAAAATTCAAATAAATGCAGCTTGACTAAATTCCTCGAAACACATAACCTCTAAATTTTAATGAGAAATTGCAAGCGACGACATGAAAATAATTGAGATTCGCATCAGACTAAATGGTGCTAACATGACTAAATAATACGCGACTTTGCTGATTCTGCGTTCAAACGAATAGGATTGGCTAACCCCAGCACCCTCTCTCGCAGGAAGCAAGTTGTTAGCGCGGCCTCTATCTTTGTTGCTGTTGGGTGAGATGCAGCATACATTTCCAATACCTTGAATGACTCGTTTAATGTATTCACGAGTCGTGCCACCTGTATAGGTGGTCTAATATTTATTTATTTATTTATTTACTACAATTTCATGGCTCAGTTAAAACAAATAAAATTCTAAAGTACAAGCGAAAAAGAGAAGAAACGCCATATGGGTAATCCGTAAAGGAGTCCAGGACCCCATATGAAAACAGATCACCAAAGTTAAATAGGCTAAAAATATATTACATATGTTTTAAACTAGAAACAATTATTATAAAATTCCACGGAATATATTAATTAGAGATATCATCCACTAAATACTTTTTGACACTTGCCTTAAAACTATTTGCACTTGCTGCTCTACGAGTACCAAACAGCAAAAGATTCCAGGAATCAACTATCCTGTGAAAAAAACTATATTTGAGAGGATTTTTTCTCGCGTATTTCCTCTTTAAAGATAAATTATCATATTTCCTAAATGAATAATGGTCAGCATCCGAATAAAAATCAACATAAGAGTCAATATTAATGTCAATAATTCCGTTGAGGGCTTTATATAAAAATATAACGTCAGCTAAAAATCTTCTATTTTCTAATGA